TATAATTAAATACGGTTAAAACTTTGACCCTCATATTTGTTTATAGTCATAAAAAACGCTAAGACTCAAGAAAATTGTTTTCTGTACATGATAAAAGGTAATGAGGCTTAATTTCCTGTATTCAAAGTTATTTTTGGTATAAAAACTCTTTTTCCAATTTTTTCTTTAATTGCAAGCTTCAGAGTATAAGTAACTTTGTAATTTGCAATCTAGTACCGTTACATAATACATTAACTATACTTATATTTTGTATCAACATAAGAGTTGTTCTCAAGTTCAAATTAAGCTTAGGTGAAGGCAAACCTTTACGAATAATGTTTAGAAATTTGATTGAAAAATTCATGTAAATTTCACTTATCAGATTTATTAACACCCTTAAATAATATGATCTATGCTTTAATATTTTACTATTTCTGCTTTTACATAATTTAGAAATTAATTATCAAAAACGTAAGTATATTCGTTATGAGTAAAATTTTGTTCTTCAAAATTTTGACAAAGTGGAAGACAAAAATTTGATTGCAAATGTAAGAGAATATTTTCATTTGCTTTAAGTCTATACAATAATAAATAAAAATTTATTGTAAAACGATTTTAGACGTATTATTCAGTGTCAGGATGATCTTTTTTATTTTGTAACATATAGTACCGATGTCGTAAATGAACCAAAAAAGCTATTTATAATTCAATATTTTAAGTTCAAGTTTCTTAAATGACACTTTAATCTATTATAAAGAATTCTGATAATCTTCTTGACAGTTAATTTTATTTATATGATGACTTCACTCCTACAGAAAAACGAAATTAACGATAAAATTTTTATACATAAATAAATATATTATAAATACACAACTAATATTTATGCGAAAGCAAAAAACCAAAGTGCATGAATGTTTAATATTTATAAATTTTTTTGAACTTTTTCAGGAAAGCTTAACGCACTCTGATGGTTGTTATACATGATGTCAACTGCTAGACATTGGCAGTGCATAAGTACTCGTATCCACAACATGCATTAATTATATTAGTTGATTTCAGTGTGCATCTGTTCATGCAACTAATTCTAACTGCACGTGTTTCATTTTGCATGAAAAATTATAAAATATTCTCGATTTGCAGGCCACAGTGGTGAAGAGATATCTCGACAACAAAGGCGTATTTGCAACTGCACACAGTCCTAATAAACGGCATATTGTCCAAACTTAACTACACAATAAAAATATATAAGTGGACAGTCGTAATTAATTAAGAAATCAACTAATATCATTAATGTATGTTGTAGCTACGAGTACTTATACACTGCCAATGTCTAGCAGTTGACACCATGTGTGACAACCATCACAGTGCGTTAGGCTTTGCTGAAAAAGTTCAAAAAATTTACAAATATAAAACATTCATGCACTTTGGTTCTTTGCTTTCGCATAAATGTTAGTTATATGTTTATTATATCTTACTAATATATAAAGCAAAGTCGCTAAAACCGTTGTAATCGCTAACCGCGAAAGCTACTAAACCGATTTTGCTGAAATTTTGCACACTGATTCGTGACACTTCCTAGATGGTTTTGAGAATTTTAGGCTACAAATGTAAACCAAGGAAGACAGCCCTGAGGAGCACGAGCAGCCACAACGGCTCTCTTCTCAGTGATCGTATCCCCAACGGCATACCCACTTTTTCCCTACCAACGATGAGCGGTTGGTTATCCGGGGAACGACCTCAATATCTATTCTTTGGTCAGCGGCGTACTTCCCTCCATCACAGTCTCCATACATAGAGACTTTGAGGGTAAGAGTCAAGCTACCCGCAGCCAGCTCTTCATCATCAGGAATAATAATAAGGAATAGCTGGAAGTTTCACCACTGGCCCTTTTTAGGGCCATTAAAAATATTCACGTTCCCTACTTAACCATCAATCTCACCGGTTCTCTTAAGGACCACCTAAGTTTTAACTACCTTGCGAACAAATACACTACCATTTCCGGAAACGATTTTTCGACTAAAAGACTATATCAACTAAAGACGGCCACTATTAAACCAAGTCAGTCATTCACTGGCAGTCATCACGAGCGGAGTTGTTCTTCGCAAAGCTGGGAATTCCGCTGTCCAACGACCCTATATTACGCTCTCGACTCTAAGTATTCAATAAGGAATCACCGATCCTCTCCAAGGTCTGCGCTGGGCGAACCCAACAGCTAGAAAGGGAATCAAAAACTTAAGCCAACGGGACAGTCTCCAACGGGCAAGCATCAAGAACCAATCTCCCCATCTCAGATCACCCAAAACAACTGAGTCTAAAAAAAAGGTGCTTTAGATACCTACGTCTTCGACGTTATACCAGGAGACGTTGAGAAAGATCTCTACAACTAGCTCCAAAGCTTCGGACTTTGTAATTTTTTTCCTGATCAGTCTAGGGCTTGCCAACAAATATATTAGAACTTAACAAAGTTGACAGAAAACAGCCTTTAGGGGTCACAAGTCTTAAGCATGCCAAAAGTCACAAGAGAGTGAATTGGAAGAAAAACTTCAAATGTATCTAATAAATAAAATTTCAGGCGTCAAGAAACCGACGCAGAAAATTTATCGAGATTGGAACAG